CTTCCAGTGCATATTACAACCCTGCCAACCCACACAATGTGTACATGCCCATGGTGAGTACTGCACCTGTGGTCTGTGTGAGCCTGCTCCCCCTTCCGTCACTAAGAGACAGCGGTTTGCTTTCCTAGCAAAGTCTAGCGTGACGTCATTTTGAAAATGCACAGAATGTGTGAGTTTTCCTTGGAGGTGTGGATGATAGTGCCATGAAGGTGGCTCGTTAAATCCTGAGTCAGGAAAGGAGAAGGGCCGTAAGATTCACCCAGTAGTTGTGGTTCAGTACTTGTCTTACTCTTAAAGGCATGAGAAATTTGCATGAGCACAGAGAATGTACAGACCTCTCTGCTTCTGTGAGGCCTGAAAGTGAGGAGAGTTGAAGAGCAGGTCACATAAGGATGACAGCGTAAGGGTTTTGTTTTATTTTTTTGCTGGGCTGTGAGGACACAGGGAGGTCTCCTACAGTTCAGTCAGCAGCAGCCAGTAGGTAGGCTGTAGCCTACGTGGGGTACGTGACAGCCGGTCTGCCTGTGCCCTTCCCTGCCTTGTGTGGCTCTGTGGTGGGCTGGAGGTCGATGGAGCAGCAAAGCTTGGCCCTCAGCCCAGGGGCTTGCTGTCTGCCAGGTCAGAGCTACGAACATGAATCATAGAATCATAGAATGGTTAGAGCTGGAAGAGACTTCAAAGATCATCTAGTTCCAACCCCCCTGCCATGGGCAGGGAAACCCTCCACTACATCAGGTTGCCCAAAGCCTCATCCAACCTGGCCTTGAACACTTCCAGGGATGGAGCATCTACAACTTCTCTGGGCAACCTGTTCCAGTGCCTCACCACCCTCTGACTGAAAAATTTCTTCCTTATATCCAATCTAAATCTCCCCTTTTTCAGTTTAAATCCATTGCCCTTTGTCCTATCACTACACACCCTTGTAAAAAGTCCCTCTCCAGCTTTCCTGTAGGCCCCCTTTAAGTACTGGAAAGCTGCAATGAGATCACCCCAGAGCCTTCTCTTCTCCAGGTTGAAGAGAGACAAAGTCCTGGAAGTGGAGGATGGGGATTAAAACAGATTAAACGGTCTACTTGCAACAGACCATTTCTTCCCTGGTTTTGAGGGGACATTCACTAGAAACGTTAAGGGAGGTAGCATATATTCTGGAGCATGAGTGATATTAGAGAGGAATGATGCGATGAAATGACAGCTTAAAACACAGCACCTGGCTCTGTCTCTTGCTCACTGAAGAGCAGTCATTTCTTGTAAGGCAAACCTGGGAACGCCTGAGAAGAGCTCATCATAAAACAAGCAGGGTTGTTGACTCTACTTTATCTCCTTCCAGGATCAGCCACCTCCTTATACACCTCCTGAGGATAAGAAGAACAACTAACAGAAGAAAATTGCAATCAGCCTCTCACAGTCTCTCTCCCTGAAGACAACTTGGCTGTTACTACCCCTTGGGTTAGAATATTTCTAGGTCTCTTTGTATATATACAATATGTGTAGTGCTGGGCAGCTGAGCACCTGCCCTCCTTAAACATTGTCAATGGCAATACAAGGTGGAACAACAGCACTTTCCTGCTTATTTTCTTTATCTCATGGGGTCAAAGCACTAACCTTTTTGCTCTGCCATTGGCTTGAAGAGAGAGAGAGACTTCTTAAACCACCGGTAGACCACATCGCTAATCTAGGACTAAAATATGAAGGCTCTGGGATCTTGGAGTAAAGCTGCTTGGAATGCCAAACTTTTGACTTCTTCTGAAGCACCATCCAAGGGGAAAGGTATAAAGAGCCATGAGGTTCCTTGCATAGACCCTAGGGTGCCCCAGAAAGGTGTTAAATTTCCTTAAATTCTGGCACAGCAGAGTGTGAAGCGTGTGTTTCATGTCCTGGTCTAACAGTCATGAGGTGACGAACTTGCAAAGTGCATCCTAAGAGACTCTGTGCATCCTAAGAGACTCTGAAGCATTTGGCTGCACGAGAGGGAAGGGGATGGGCCCGTCAGCCTGCTTTTGTAGACACTGAACAGAAAAGCAAACAAAGGTGTGCTGCAGGGCAGTGAGCTGATACTGGCAGGCGTGCGAATCAGTCTTCCTTTCCCTCTCCTAGAAGCAGGTCCAGTATCTGTGCAATGATCTTGTGTCAAGCAGCTATTCTTCAAGTGTAATGGAGTCAAGTGCTGCGCAGGAGGCTGCTTGCCTTGGAGCAAAATATGTTACATTAGGAAGAGGACCTGGCATTAGCCTTGGCAGGAGACAGGTCCCGCAGCCCTGGCTCCCTCTTCTGAGAAAGCTTGTGCTGCGTGCTAGCTCGGCAGGGGAAAACTGCCCTGCCGTCTTCTCCTTCAGCTGCTGCAGCCAGGGTGTGTATGCACACGCCTGAGCAACGGGGGCAGGTGGGCGCTGTAATGCTGGAGCTGGGTTGCTTAGGGGTGCAGTTCCGTGTCTCAGCTGCTCAGCCACAACCCTGCCTTCTTCCCCAGGGCGTAGTGCCATTAAACCTGCTCTGAAGTCTCTCTAGTCTGCTGGAGATCCTTGTGATCCTTTACATACAGGGTGACTGTGTTTCTTCCTATAGCCTTCGTACCTTCACAGTGAGAGGAAAGAGAGTTTTCCCTCTTGCTTCTCTGTGCACCAGGGCTTTCCTGTAAGTCAGGCTTGCGCAACTGGCAAGTGTGAATTCCTAAAGCAGCCCTGTGTGGGAGGAACTAAATTTCCGTATCTATAAACACCATTTAAGCCTGAAGTAGAGATATTCTAATAACTCTGTATTTAAAAATAATCAATCTTCATGAATGTTTATAACTTTTGAATTGCACTTTAATACAGAAGCGTTGATACCTTTAGCTGCCTGTTCACTATTGCGTGTGTTTGTGTTGACCTTCATTTCTGCCTGCTGCACAGAAGGCTGGAACAAATGACAACCACTGGTGTTCTTTCGGGTGTGCTGTGGGCCAGTCCTCCTCTCTCCCTGGTGCCTGGCTAAGCTGGATCTGGAATGAAGTAACTGAGGGGAGAGAAGAAGGTGGGACTTGTCCTCTTGCTGCCTGGGGAGGGTGGGAGGCTGGTTTGTGCCTTTGCTCTCACCCAGATATCCAGAATGTTCGTGTCCTCAGGGCAGGCACAACACTGCATTTGGTAGAGGCAGTGTCCCCACCCTGCCACTCACCAAGGCTGTATTCTTAGCAGCTCTCCTTTGTACGTTTACTGCCTGTCTTTAGGCAGTAGAAAGGCCTGGCTTTAAGAGGAACTCCACATGGAAAAAAAAAAAAAACGGTAAAGGAAAATGGCACTTAACTGTGGACTGTAAAATCTGTTTCCCCTTGCGCCAAGGAAAGCTGGTGCCCTGCTGAACATGATGTAACTACTGGAAGGCTGTTTCCTACTCTGCATCAGTCCAGTCTCTTCACAGGAAACCCATTCTATTTCTTAGCATAGTTCCTCTTTTGAGGTAATGACTCTGTAATCCTACATTAACCAAGGAGCTATAGCTAGCAACACTGAATAAACATGAAACAGAGAGCCTCTGCCCTGCTTCCCCTTTATTTCAATTAATTCGTCTCAATCATTCCCCAAGAACAAAGCCAGCTCCCATACACAGACACGAAGTGCACTCATCCTTCCTGTTACCACTGAAGCATCGTGTTCAGTATCTTGCTGCTGCACTGAAGACATTTTTGGAAGTGGACAGAATCAGCCATTTGGTCCTGCAGGAACTGGCGTGGGCGCCCAACCCTCCATCATCTGAACAGAAAGGAGAAACTTCTTTTTTTTTTCCCTTTGGCTAATCTTAAATGTTGTTATTTCCCTGGTCTGATGCTTAGTCTTGCTGGTCTCCCTTGGACAACAATCTTCAGAGACAATCTTCACGAATGCTGCATGCCTCTCTAGGACAGAGTGGGCCACATCTCACCTAAAATTCCTCTGCAGGATGTGTGCTGTATGAAGGTGAATCAGTTGAGGGCTCTAGAGTCCATCTTGCTGCTCACTTCCAGTTTATTAGTGCAGGGTCCTCCCCACGATGAAGCTGTGGATGTAGCTGCTCTCGGGAGATAGAGGAACCTTTTCCCTGAGAAACCCTGAGCATTCAGCCATCTGGAGGAGAGCCCAAGCCTCCTTTTAGCAGGAATTTCCTGTTACAGCAAGAACAGGACACAGCTTGGAGGCACCCATGACCACTTTGCAACTCAAAAGACAACCTCTGCTAAGCATTGGCATTTTCCTGACCACCACTTGTGCTCTACGGTTTTTGATGCTGTACCTCAGCAAGGCTGCTGGGGTTGGCCATTGCCTATGGAGGGTTTTGCTCTGCTCTGCTGTAAACTGATACCAGAGGGGCTTTAATACAACGCTAGCATGTATGCTAGACTGGAGTAGTGTTGGCCTCCAGGATTCTGGCAGCAAGATCAGGCCTGCAAGCAACACCCCTCTGGACAGGACCATCATTCCTCCAGGAGCTCTTGGTCCTGGGGAGGGTACATGGGAAGGGTGTAGCCCTATTGACAGCCCTTTATTCTAAGCCAGCTGATTGTAGCAGACGAAAGAAGGTGGACAGGTCTGATCCTTGAGGCTAAAGCCATCACTCACATGGCAGGGCTGGGGAGAAGGGGATGCATCACCATCCTAGAAGATACTAAAGCATCCAAGGCCTTTCTACAGGCATAGTTCAAACAGCCCCTGCAGCAGTCAGTGGTACTCAGTTCAAAGCAGTAAAGTGCTCAGGTGTCAGAGTTGACAAACTCAACAGTGGCTGGACTCTGCTTGTATGGCATCTTCCATAGGAGGATCTCAAAGAGCTTTGCAATCGCAGAGGAATCAGGCTTTGCACAACCTTAGGAGGTGAGTAACAAGAATTCCTGCTTTATGCAGACTGAGTAGCATCAAGCTGGCACCAGAAGAATTACCTGAGAGTCACTCCCCAGCACTGCTGGGCATGACAGCCAAAGACACTTATGCAACGAAGAGTCCCGTGCCACAGGGTCTGGCAGCTCACCCCAGCACTGACCCACACTGCGATCACAGGAGGACTGGGCGGAAACTCCCACCAGGGGCTCGCTGTTTGACGATGTGCCAGGGCTGCACCGAGAGTGCCATGGGATAGACATACCACATCACTACCCCCGAGGGGTTAATAACAACCGAGAAGCTGTCTCCTGTCTTTAAGCCGCTGATGATCTTCCCACTGTACACATCTTGAACCTGGAAGAGAGATGGTGGCTACCAGGACTTCCACAGACCTTTCATCTTGAGGTCCAAAAGCGCTCACTGACAGCCCCAGCCCAAGTGGGCCATGCCACACAGGGGAACGGGGCACAGCAGTGGGCAGGAGGGCAACCCAACAAGCAACTGCCCCTTCATCCTGAAGGCAGGGAGTGGGAATCCTTCCCTCCCCAAAACGCAGAGGGTTTCAATGCGGGGAGCTGGAAAGAAGGGGATCCAGGTGCCATGGGGCTGCCCTGCCATGCAGCGTGCCAGTGGGGCTCACCTCATACACCGCATCCTCAGGGAAGTGAAGCTTGGCCAGGCTGGTGGTGTAGAGGAAGGGCATATCCGTCCTCCGGCTGAAGAAGACAAGGGCACTGGCAGCATGGGACAGTGGGCGCAGGAACACCTCGATGTGGGATTTCTCCTAGGGTTGGGGATGGGTGGGTAAGGCAGTGCTGCCAGGACCAGCACTGGCCCATAACTTCTGACCTTGCCCTTCAGGGCTGCTATGCCAGCAGGCCCACAGCTCCCACAGCTGTCCTGCACATGCTTCTCTGCATTGCTTCCCTCTCTCTCCTTTTTCTGATGCCACATGCTGCTCCTGTCTGCCCTCCCGAACACGTCCACCTTCCCCCTAACCTTGACAATCCTGCGCCCCTGGATTCCCAGGGGGTCCTGGTTGATCTGGATCATCAGGCGGTTCTGCAGGATCTCCTTGGCACTCGGGGAGATGGTGCGGAGGTCTGTGGACATAAGGAGCGGAGCTGCCATCACCGTCCACAAGGCCATTTGGGAGCGTGACTGCTCGTAGCTAAGGCCAAAGTTTCCAATGATGAGCTGGAGGGGAGAGGGAGAAACAGAAAAGGGTTAGAAACTGGTCTGCTCACCACACTTGGTGATGCTGTAGCCTCCTGGGTGGGTGGAGCACACATGGGAAGCCTCACACAGGCTGCTGCTTCTCCTTGGGCAGCTGCGACATCCCACTTCTGCTAGGTGCTAGGCCATCAGCACACATTCAAACACACTCACTATTACCCTTCAGTTCACTACCATCCCCAGTCAGGCTGTGCAGGGAAGAACAAGGACACCTGGACAAGAGGACAGGTATACTCGGGCATTGGAGGGTTCATTGCAACCACAGGCTTTTCCCACAGCTTAGCCAAGGGCAACAAGCTTTGCCTCTTTGCAGCAACAGGGCTCCTGCTCCTGGCGCTGTTCCTTCACCCTGCACCTAGAAGGGGATCCCCAGAGAGCCCCTGACCAGAGTCAGCGCACCCACCCCCCAGCCGCACCATGTCAGGGTCATTCCAGTGGCCAGGGCCAGCCACCGGCTGCAGGACATCCTGGTTTGCAGAGAACCAGTCCAGGATGGAAAGTATGCTGTCCCAGGAGTCCTGGATGTCATCGTAGTTACGCCACAGGTTGCAGACCTCTGCCAGGACGGTGTAGTTCACCTGGAGAGGAGCACAGGGTCAGGCAGGAAGGAGAAAGGATGGAGTCTGCAAACCAGAGCAGAAGGGGCAGCCAGACTACAGCATCCAGAAGATGCTTGGTGTTTGCAAAGCACTGGCACCTGGAGAAGGGCAAAGTCACACAATGAAGGAGGAGAGAGTCATATTCCAATATGACTGGGCACACCCCAGTATGTTAGGACGTCTGGCAAAACAACCATAGAAGAGGTCTTGGGGAAGTATGATCAGCTGCAAGGTTGACTCAGAAGGTGAAAGAGGAAAAAAAAAAATGCACTCAATTCTCAAGAAACGTTACTAGGAGGAACAACCTATTTCAAGCACTTAAACCAGACAGGACCCCTCACAGAAGAACAGACTGTCAGGATCAACCTCACACCAGCTGAGTGGGATGGAGAGGGCACACCCCAGGGCCTTCTTCCCCCAGATTTCCATCACCTAGCCACGCTGGGAACCCTAAGTGTCCCCAAATGCCTGGCAGGGAGGCCAGGTCCTCTCCGGGGACCTGCAGCCCCATCCAACCAGGGGCTGAGCAATCAGTGGGGTGCAGCACCCAGCTCCTGCAGCTCCAACAAGAGCTCCCGCAGGGCACAGGAGACACGGGAAGCAGTTGCCAGACAGGACAACCCTCACCTTAGGGGGGAGCCCGCCCTGATATGCCGGCCAGCTGCAGGAGTAGACGATGGGGCGGCCTGTTGCATTCAAGGCCTTTGCCATTTCTGGGTAGCCTTAGGGAGAGAAGACAACAAGTGGTGAAGATGATGGCTGGCAGTAGCCTGGATCCCAGCCCACCCGGCTGGCCCCCTGCCTTACACCTGCTCTAGGGCACCCAAACTCCCTCCTCTTTGCCCAAGAGCTGCAACAGGAGAAACAAGGGAAGAACCAAAGCCGGCCAAGTGTTTCTGCAGATGTCCAGCCACCCTGACCAAAGCAGCGAGGGGAGAAATACCATCTGGCTGGGGAGCCTTTACCCTCCGCCTGCTCCTCTCCCGACGAGTAGCACCCATCCAGCTTCAGCATGTCCACACCCCACTCCGCAAAGGTCTGGGCGTCCTGCTTCACGCAGTCCAGCGTGGTGCCTGGGTAGCCCCCGCAGGTGAATGTGCCCAGGTCACCATAAATGCCCAGCTTCAGGCCCCGGGCATGGACCTGCAAGGAGAGGAGAGCTGTAAGGAGGGGGGACAAGGAGGGTCTGAGGTGCCTCCCAGGGACCAGGCTCCTCCATCCTCTCCCAGCCCTCCTGCCATGGTGGTGTGGGGACACAGAGACCCTGCACCATCCCCAGCGGGCACTCACGTAATCAGCCAGAGCCTTTATTCCCCTGGGAAACCTCTCAGGGTCAGGAACCAGCCGTCCTGCTGCGTCCCGCTGCTTGGCTGACCAGCAGTCATCGATGTTGATGTACTCATAGCCCAGCTCCCTCCAGCCGT